AAATTAATTTGATTATATATATATATATATATATATATATAAGATACCAAATATATTTTAGAGTAGAAAGTGTGACATTTATCATTAGTAATAAGCACTGAAACATGAATCTTTTTTGAAAAGTTTGTTTGATCTTCAAAGTTATAGAACCTTCCGAGCATGACTTACATGAAGAACAAGTAAAAAAATAAAAAGAATTGCCATCAAGTAAAGCAGCATTTGTGTACAAGTAAATTTTACCTTCCGAGCGTAACCACCATAAGCTATGCCACCAATTAAAGCTTGTGCAGAATCAGCAATGCCTCCCGTACCTGTACTTTCCATGTTAAAGCTTGTTAATATTTCCTGGTTCATATCCGTTTTATCAGTCCCCGTTTGAGGACAAAGAAAAGCATGATTCTAAACTAAATACTAGAAAAATAGGAGGCATTTACGTATAGCACCCAATTCCTATGTATTTAGATATCAAAGAATTAAACTTTGCATTCTACATTTATACCACCCAAATGTTTCAAATCACATAAAAAATATCACCATTTTAACTTTTAAAAAGTGAAATACATCTTTTCATATATAGTTAAGGTGTTATGTATCTAAAAATTGAAGTTTAGGTGTTAGATATGCTAACACATGCGAATTTAGTGGTCTGCATGTAAATCTTCCAAAAAAATATTATGTTATTCATCAACTTCTGGAAAATGAAGAGAAACAAATACCTGAAAATTTGATTGCCTTGAAAAGCCCCACTTTCTTTAAACAATCAATTGTGTGCAAATTTGTTCCGCCAGCCAGCTGATAAAAACCTTCGAGGCAAGGCTTACTTTTTAAGTCCAGCAGAATCAATTAATTTACAATAAAAGTTCTCAGAACCTGACCATGAGGCTTGTCTGGTATAGCTGCCAAACGCATTGCAAAGTTAATTGCCTCTCTTGTAGCACCTCGACCAATGTCCCCACTCATGGGCCGGCCATCTAACTGAAGAAAATTTACACTGACAGCATTATGCCCACATTACATACATACCACTCAATTATTGTGTATTTACAGATTTAAACTTTAATTTTCACATATATGCCATCTTATATGTGCATGGAAAGATGCATTTATTTTATGGAAAGATGCATTCATTTTTTAAAAGTTAAAATATTGGTATTTTTCATGTGATAAAGATTTGGGTAGTATAAATGTAGTAAAAAAGCAAAATTTAGGTGTTAGATATGTAAATACATAAGAATTGGGTGAAAAACAATAAATTGCAGCAATAACAGCATGAAGCGCTGCCAAAAAACCAGTAATTTATATTATTACTTTTGAACACTTCATATTCACAGGAATATCCGCAAAGAGACACTAGGCAGCCGCTGTGTTGCTACAATTTGTATCAAGTACCAATAAAATTTTTACAAACAAACCTGCCATAAATTGTAACCAAGGAGACGAGATTCCATTATTGTATGCATATCTTGCATTGTGGAGAAAGTCGAATTTCCAATATCAGGCATACTAACCTGCATCATTAAAGGGAAAAAACAACAATTTATCTTAAAGAGACTATAAAAAAATGTTGAAAAGCAAAATCTGCAATAGTTTCATAAGTTAAAGCATACACAGAAATAATGATAATAATAATAATAGTAATAATAACAATAATATTATCTCTAAGTTATTTCCTGCAAAAAATGAAATTCACTCCTTTGTTCAGTAGAAAAAAAGGGGGCATTTCCATACAAACCACACATTTCCTATGCAAATAAATAACTTGCACCTGATCTTTCATATTTATATGAATAACACTCGAACCAACATCACCTTGAGGGCTTCGATTTGGGGGTTTGGGTTTGATTGCACCATCCTAAGGTGCAGAAGCGGTCGCAGACCTTGACCTTTATGCTTCGGCATAAGACTAAATGGAAGGTAGACTAGTCACACAATCGTTGGACTTTAAAGCACTCCATAAGAATGAAATAATACTAACAACATAAAAAATGATCTACAAAGACAAAGACATTGAATGACAAAGACAAATATGACTCGAAAGACAAAGACATATATGACTCGAATGAACTAGAGATTGCCCCCAGTCAATATAAAGCAACAAAGACGGTTTATTTTATTCCAAATAATCAGGTTTCCCATGGGGGTTCCCATAGGTGCAAACCCCCATGGTTAATTTTACATCTTAGGCAAGGAGAACAAGAGCACTTTTCGATTAAAGATCTTTGTTCATTTTTCTTTGGGTTTGGCACATAATGGGTTTTTTTAAGTAAGTTTCCTTATTCCAGTCAAAAAATGGCTTAAATGGCTACTCAACATGTAGGGTGTGAAACAACCAAGCATACGAGGATAAGCACAGCAAACAAAGCATGCATCATAGAAGAACTCATGAGATGACATTATCAAATGACAGATATACGGGTCTAACAAACTTTCGATTAACGGAAGTTTGCCCAATGATGAAGACTAAAATTTTGTAAAGATAATATCAATCTTGAACCTAAATCTAAAAGGGGACTAACGTACTAACCAGGTATAAGTTATAGTAAAACTCTGGAGTTACTAGAACTAGAAATGAAACTATTTGACTTCTTTGTGCTTATCATATTATACTTGCATAAGTGTACAAATGAATAATATGTTGCTCAGTTCAAGAAAACCAAATAAGTTGAGGGGGAAAATAATATGCCTCGGTACCAAAATTAGCAAATAAAACACAACGAAACGACAATAGATAGGTGGAAGAAATACAAATAAAGGCTGCTCTTACAAAAATCAAAGAAAAACAAGCAAGATAAACGGTTGATCTACTAGATGTCAATCATCTCTCTCACACCCTATAGACGTCGCTAGGAACACCACACGAAGAAAGAAAAGAAGCAGTCACAACAAAATATGCATAAAAAAAAACAAACCCTTGATTTTACACTTAATAGAATACTCCCTAGCCTTTGAGGGTTCACCGGACCCCAATACTTCTTGAACCGATTCGGTCCAGGCATCCTTGGATGCTTGGCGCTCATCAAACTCCCCACATCAGATAGGATTGTAAATCAATATGTATTATATAATTTCAATTGTGGAATAAGAAAAGGGGAGTTTTCCTGTTACTTGATATCAGAGCTTCGTCGAGTCTTTCATGTCTGCATTTTTTGTCTTTGAAGTTAGCTTCTAGGAATCCTCATCTTCGGCTTAGGCTCATTCTCTAGGGCTTCGTTTGCTTTGAACAATGTTGTTTGCAAGGCCACAATGGCTTCTTTTGCATCCCTAGGGCATCATCATGAGGTGACATCATCCAGGTCGTAGTCGTCATCCTGCGACGTCTTCGTTTGTGTCCTTTGACTTCATCTACATCGACCTCGCCTTGGTCATCGTCTTCGTCTGGAAACAATCCGTCTTCTTCATCTTTGACTGCACTGTCGCCCATCTTCTTCTTAATTGGCATCGTTTGCTTCATGTGGCTTCGTCAACTCTGTCTACCTAGGTCAATTGCGTCAGCGTTTTCGTTTGGCTGCTTTGCCTTCTTCCTGTTTGACTTCACATGCTACTTTGTTCAGCTTCGCTGTGTCGTTCAACTTTGTCGCCTCGCCCTTCAGCTCATCTGTACTTAATCTCATATTTAATGATAATCACGGCTATGGAGCAGAAATATGGAGTGACAATTTAGTCTCATTGGTTAAAATTACAAATAAAAAAAATAAATGATGTCAGTTATTTTTATTGGAATAAAATTATCACACTACATGAGAAGTTATTCTCAAGAAAGTCATCTTATTGATAATCTCCAAACCGAGACTAAATTGAATTATTCTGAGTGTATGAGAGCCTAGCTTTTAATATAATTATGGAACTCTATCAAACCTGATCAATATGGTTATATTACTCAGTGCGAGTGTGTTAAAGATGCTATAGAGGAATTGGAGTTTGCATTTTATGGGAGAACATTTCTCGAATCTTTGATGCATGCTAAGAGTTCTATCGAGCTGAAAAATAGGATCAATCACTTAGCACGTATCACATGCAATTTAAATATGTTTATGAAGAATTGAATGCACTATTGCCTTTGAGTACTGATGTCCGGACTCAGCAGACTCAGAGAAAAAATGGTTATTATGACTTTTCTAGCTGGCCTCAACTCACAGTACGAAGGTGTCTAATCATAGATCCTATATGATCCAGGAGATGCTACTCTAAGGAAAGCTTATACTAGAGTATTGCGTACTATTCCGAGTTTTCAGGATTCATCCGTACAACAACCTAGTGCTTAAGCTAGCCAAAAAAAAAAAAATACAAACACCAGTAGAACAAAGCCTCGGGCAAATTATGGAAGTGGAACTCTGAATCTATAAATCAAGGCTCGAGGGTAGTTTGCTACTATGTCATAAACCTGGTAATAAAAAGAAAACATGTCAGAAGTTGCTAAAAAAATCAGAAGAGTTCTAGATTACAATTAGCTCACATGATCACTACTAAGTCAAACTCTTAATTATTTGCGGATGAATATGTTAAACTCATCCAATTTAAAAATCATCTAAAAAATTTCCCTCTGTGACTGCCCTTGTTGAGTCAAGTAACAATGATACTTGTCTTATTCCTCTTCTACACACGGGATCCAGAATTTTAGTGCCACAGATCATATGATAGGTAATCCAAAACACTTTTTCATATTTCATAAAATTTCTTCTTATATCAACTTGGCAGATTGATTATCTCCAATGTTCTTGGTTCTCTTAATGTCACACGTAGAGTTTGAAAGGCAGTATACCGCAGCAACACAGGGCGTGATAAAAAATTTGAACATGTTATATTCTAAAAAGAAATAGAGTATGCAAGTAATAACAGAAAGATGTAAGAAAAATTTTATTTCACTTCATAAATAAGAATACAACTAGTACAACTGAAAGCAAATGAGATAGTTGAAAGAAACTAAACTGAAAAAAGGGAAACAGTTACCCAGACCAAGAAAAAAATACAATAACTAATATGAAATAGAAAATACCAAAAGTAAATCTAAAGTTGAAAAATCTATTCTGGTTGAGATGACCCGATAAGTGGTTGGGCGAAGCCTGTTATATAAAAATATCAACGAGTAAGTTTGAAAATCAAATTAAGTAAATAACAACTATTTATTAAATCATAAAACGCAAGGAAAATGGGGCATGCAGTATGAACAATAAATATGGATGATTTACTATGTTTATAATACAATTTGTAAGGACTCTCATGCTTATAAACATGAATAAGAGTGATTCGAACACATCACTTTTATGTGGATATTTATATGCTACAAGATCAGGTATTTTTGTACATATATGACACATCAATCATTTAGCACAACCTAATAATATACAATTTCAGTATCTACATGAATACATATATATAATTATATTTACATATAAACAATTTACTACGACACTTTGAAACAAAAAAATATAGGCACCAATCCCATGAAAATCCACTAATTTCTCTGAAGGACGCGTTGGACTGGCTAGTCATGACAAAATAATTTAATATCTACATAATAATATTGTAATATTAAATATATGTCATGCATTTCAACACAAGAATATACCTACAAAATGTCCTTCAGTATTTATAAACAATTATGACAACTGAAATAATGAAATTTATCACATCAAAGATATAAAAGAATAATAAATATTGAAATCATGAAATGTGAACAATTAAACATGAGGCTAAGCAGTAATATAACATAGTTAATTACACAATAAGGTCATCATGAGCCAAAATAGGAACTACTGCAAATATATGAACAAAATTTAAAAGGGCACGAATGACAACCCCATAATTGGCTAGGAATCTAATATAATTAACAAAGATAAAATCGCTAACTAGGAATGATACGTTTATCTTATAATAAAGATCAGTTACTTACCTCGATGTGGTCAACGTGATACCTCTACGAATTTAACGATTTGACTATTGATCATACACCAATTAGAAAATAAGATAAAATAATTATGAAATTAAACTTATTATTTATGAAATTAGATGCAATCAAATCGACCCTTTATTATTATCATTATCATTCATATTATTATTATTTTTAAAAGGAAGAATCTATGAACCTAAGTAAACTTAGGCTTACTGGCAATTAAAATAATATCTTGGTTTGTTTTATTTGATGAAGAGGAAAAGTTAATTTTTAAATAAAATTTTGGGGATATGCATGTGTAACGCCTAAACAAAAAAATAGAAAACTACAACTTCTTAAATCCCATTTTTCTTCCTGTTTGCCTTAACTCTGGGATTTAGCAAATCCCGTTAGGAGATGGATTACGAGATTCAGAGGAGTTGAAGTGTGCGCGAGGAAGGCGAAGTAGACGAATGTTACCTTCCTCGATGGTTTCGGGTAGGAGCAGATGGAAAGGGTAGGAAATAGGTCGCCTCTGCACACTACGATCTCGTTGTTGCCTTCATCGCTAGCCCTGATCGCCACTTATCGTAAGGGTTTGAAGGAGGAGAAAGGTAGGAGCTTCGATGGTTTTAGTATGTCGTTATCCCATCGTTGCCCTCCTAGCTAGCTCTAATCTCTAGTATTGCACAAGTTCAAACAAATGGCGATGGTTTTAGGCTAATTGGGAGAGGGGTAGTAGGAGATTAGAGGGCTTCGATAGAGGGTTGCTGAAGAAGGCGAGGGGGAGGGAGGAGTTGTTCGAGGCCCTAGTCAAGCTCTCTTTTTATAGAGTGGAGGGATGGCAACAATAAAGCCATGAAATTGCAAAGTCTGAATCAGAAAAATATCGACAAAAGGAAAGAAATCATGTGGATCAAAGGACAAAGAAAAGAAAATTTGGATCTTATATACAACCCTCAAAAGAATTTGGTCTCCAAATTCATACCCAAGATTACATCAACTCGACTAGCTTTTCTAGGTTACTTTAGTTTGCAAAAAAAGGATCAATGTTTTCCCTTCTTAAACAAGTACATAGACTTTACTGATATCACATTCCATGAACAAACTCTATTTTTTGGCAACTCATTAATGCTTATATCCTCACAAGTTTCTGATGAGTTAATGTATCACATCATCAATTCAGCTCCACTTCCACCGCTAGTGCCTCAGCTTAGACCACCCATCACCAATGTTTACTTGAGAAAACCTCGTTCCCCTGATCCTAGTCTGACACCAATATCCTCTTCTTTGGTGGATCCTTCTCCTAGTTACCTTCATTTACCTATTGTTCTTCGAAAAGATAAATGTCAATGCATCTATCCCATTTCCTTTTGTGTTAACTATGATTAGTTATCTTCTACTTCTTACTTATTTATTGCTTCCCTTGACTCTGTTGAGGTCACGGGATCTGTTCAGCAAGCCCTATCTCATTATGGGTGGCGAGCAACGATGCTTGATAAAATTAATTCCTTGACTGAAAATGAAACTTAGGAACTAGTTGAATTACCTTCTAGCAAAAAGGTTGTTGGTTGTAGATAGGTCTTTTCAGTTAAGTTTCATTTTGACGGAGCTATAGCTCGCCTCAAAGCTTAGTTGATTGCTAAGGGTTGTGCTCAAATTTATGGGAATGACTACTTGGACACATTATCTTTGATAGCTAAGTCAACTTCAGTTCGTCTCTTCCTGTCTTTGGCTACAATGAATAATTGCCCCTTACACCAGCTTGCTTAATATGAATAATAGCTTTCTGCATGGTGATCATTTAGAAGAGGTATATATGAAGAAATCTCTTAGGTTTGTTGCTCAAAAGAAGTTTGGAAAAGTATGACTTCTTCAAAAGTCACTATATGGATTAAAACAAAGCCCTCAGGTATGGTTTGAAAAATTTAGTCAAGCAGCTGAAGAATTTGTAATGTAGAAGAATAAAAGTGATCACAATATATTCTACAAACAATCTGCTTCTGAGATCATTTTGTTGGTGGTATATGTTGATGAAATTATTATTACTAACAATGATGTGAATGGAATCTTCTATATGGACTAAAGCAAAACCCTCAAGTATGGTTTAAAAAATTTAGTCAAGCAATTGAAGAATTTGGGATGCAGAAGAGTAAAAGTGATCACAATGTATTCTACAAACAATCTGCTTCTGGGATCATTTTGTTAATTGTATATGTTGATGATATTATTATTAATAACAAAGATGTGCATGGAATCTTAACATTAAAATCATTTCTTAAAATTAGTTAAAAAGATCTTAGTTCCTTGGATTACTTCTTGGTGATTGAGGTATCAAAGAGAAAGAATAGTATCTTTGTATCTCAATGGAAGTATGTTTTGGATTTGTTAACAAAAACGTGAAAATTAGGGGTCAAACCATACGGTACTCTGATACTTCATAATCAATAACTTACCATGGATGGAGTCATTTAATGATCCTGAATAATATAGGATGTTAGTGAGAAAATTAAACAATCTAACAATTACTTACCCTGACATTGCATATTTAGCTAATAATGTAAGTTAGTCCATCCCTCTCCCCATCCATCATTAGTCAGCTCTGGAATGGATATTATGTTACCTCAACAGAGTTATTGGAAAAAGGATTCTATATCAAAATCATGAGCATAAAAATATAGAATGTTACTCTAACGCGGATTGTGAAAGTTCTAAGATTTATCAAAGATCCATTACTAGATATTGTGTTTTTGTTGGTGGTAATTTGGTCTCCTGAAAGAGTAAGAAAATAAATGTAGTGTCACAATCCAGTGCAGAATCTGAGTATCGAGCAATAGCGCAAGACTCTATTGAATTGATGTGGGTCTCTTAATTCCTGACAGAAATGGGCTTTAAGATGACAGTTCAAGTAACGATGTAATGTGAAAACCAAGCTATAATTCATATTGCTTTAAATTTTGTCTTTCATTAATAAAATAAACACATTGGGATAGATTATCATTTTGTTTGTGAAAAGAATCAACAAAATTTAATTTATATAACTCATAAAAAAACTGTGGCACAATTAGGGAATATCTTCACAAAGGCCCTTAATGGAGCAAGGGTTGCTTATATTTAAAACAAGTTGGCCATGATAAATTTCTATGCTCCGGCTTGAGATGTAGTGTTATGAAAAGCATTAAATATAATAGTTGTATATTAGGAAGCTTGTATATTATGTAACATAATTAGTTGTGTATTATGTAACCTTATTAGAAGAGATCTAATTACAAGATCTTTTCTATATTAAAAATATTTCTAATATATAGATATAAGAATATATATATGTATCATACGCTTTTAATTGTGGAATAAGAAGAAAAGAAGTTTTCCCGTTACACATACATACCACACAATTCTTAAATATTTAAATATGTAACATGTAAACTTAGCTTTTCACATTTATACAACCCAAGTCTTTTATATCACATAAAAAATATCACGATTTTAACTTTTAAAAAGTGAAATGCATCTTTCATGTATAAATAAGGTGGCTAATTAAAAAATTAAAATTTAGTTGTTAGATATGAAAATACATAAGAATTGCGTGGTGTGTAAATAAATCTTCCTAAAGTGAAATAATAGAAAATTATTTATTAAGCCCTTGCAAAAAAATTAAAAGGCCATTTCTTGGCAATGAATCTAAATCTTATGCTAGAAATTTCCCTTAATATGCAAACAAGACACTGAATAGATAGAGCAATAACTTTGTGAAACATTAAATTGTTTTTATTCCCTATGGCTATATGATATACCAGTGCATGTATCAAAATCACTACGATACATGCACTGGTAATTCATTGAGCACCCTTTCCCTGCTCTGTGCAAAATTAGAGATCTCCACAAATTTGTAAATGAAGATTTACATGCATACGACTCAATTCTTATGTATTTACATATCTAACACCTGAACTTCAATTTTTACATATATGCCACCTTAACTCTGCATAAGAAGATGTATTTTACTTTCTAAAAGTTAAAATAATGGCATTTTTTATGTGATATGAAAGATTTGAGTGGTATAAACTAAAAACCAAAGTTTAGGTGTTAGACATGTAAATACATAAGAACTAGGGATTATGTATGTAATTGCCCCAAGCGTAAAATAAATGCCATTGATAATGCATAGAACAACTTTCCCCGTTCTCCAACAAAGAAGTTTGCATTCGTAATTCATAAAAAACTTTTTTTTTTGTAAAATAGCACCTTAACTCATAGAATACGTCTTCATTGTATTTTACTAGGATAAACAAATCCTTAATTCCTGGAAAGAAATAACATTTTTAATGTTCCAGTGCTGCCAGAAACAAATTATATAAAAGTGAGGTTTGACTTACTGCTACTAGTTTCACATGTTTGATTGAAGTTCCCAATGTATCCCAAAGCTCATTGAATAGATGGATGTGCCTAATCACAGTTTTAAAGCATCAAGGCACCAAAATGTAGTATTACAAAAAACTGAAAAAAGTTGAAAAAGAACCACATTTAGTGCATTATAATATTGGGGCATTTACATACATACCACCTAAAACTCATGTATTTACATATCCAACTTCTAATTTTTAATTTTTACAAGTATACCACCCAAAACTTTCACATCACGTTAAAAATACCACCTTTTTAACTTTTAAAAAGTGAAATACACCTTCTCATACATTGGGAAGGTGGCATATCTAAGTAAAAATTGAAGCTTAGGTGTTAGATATGTAAACACATAAGAATTGAGTGGTTTGTGTGTAAATCTTCCTATAGAAGTTAGCGTTTAACCTGCCAGTTGTATGTATTTCTATGGCATCCACATCATTCCTTTTCAAGAGTTCACTTGTCGCCGCAGTCTCCCTTATATAAGTCTTCGCTCCTAACAAAACTCAAAACAAAATTACTGTTGCAGGCAGACAGAAACTTTGAATTAATGAAATCAAATTAAACAAACAAGAAGTCCACATCAGATTAATATGTTAACTGTCGAAGTTACAAAAAAGATGAAGCATCAATTTAACATATAAAGAAAATGGAAAAAAATCTTGCAAAATTTGGTTTCATAAAATCATCACGACATTAATATACTACTAAGCTAGGAATTTGAAAGTAGAATAACTAAAGTTCTACCTACTTATTTTATCAAATGGACAAACTGGGAAGCAACGCCCACAACCATAGCAACGTTCTGTGACAACTCCACCCTTAACAAAGCACAACTTAGCACTAAAATAGAAGAATGGCTAACAGAAGGGGCATTTACATACATACCACCAAATTCTTATATATTTACATATCTAACACCTAAACTTTGCTTTTTATATTTATAGTATCCAAATCTTTCATATCACATTAAAAATACTACCATTTTTAAAAAGTGAAATACGCCTTTTTATTTATAAGTAAGGTGGTATACAACAACAACACAACAACAAAGCCTTAATCCCACTACGTGGGGTCGGCTACATGAATCCTTTTTCTCCACTGCGTCCTATTTAGTGTCGTATTTTCATTTAGTTCTAGTAAATTAAGTTCATTTTTAATACAATAAGCCCAAGTCTTCCTAGGTCTACCTCTGCCTTTCTTAACACAAGTCGAATCTAAAACATCTACTCTCCTAATAGGATCATCAGATGGTCGACGTTTAATGTGACCAAACCATCTAAGACAACTTTCTCTAATTTTGTCTGTCACAGGAGCTACACCAACCCTATCACGAATATATTCATTCCACATTTTGTCTCTAAGTGTAAAGCCACTCATCCACCTAATCATTCTCAGCTCGACAACACTTAACTTTTTATTATGCTTCTCTTTTAAATGCCAACATTCAGCGCCATAGAGCATTGCAGGTCTCACCACCGTCTTATAAAATTTTCCTTTCAGTCTTAGCGGTATTTTTCTATCACACAAAAGGCCCGAAGCATTCCTTCACTTCAACCAACCAACTTGAATTCTACTATTAACATCCCCATCTATATCACCATCGCTTTGGACAACAGACCCAAGATATCTAAATCGTTCACACCTTTTAATAATTTGATCACCCAAAGTCACACATCTGTCACTAGAGCTATTACTACTAAAATTACATTCCATGTATTCAGTTTTAGTTCTACTTAAACGAAGGCCTTTAGAATCCAATGTAGACCTCCATAATTCAAGTTTTTCCTGGGCTTTTTCTCTCGTTTTATCCACGAGAAGAATATCATCAGCAAAAAGCATACACCAAGGTACATCCTCCTGTAGATGTCCAGTAAGACCATCCATAACTAAAGCAAAAAGATAGGGGCTTAAAGCCGATCCTTGATGTAATCCAACAGAAATAGGAAAATATTTTGTCAATCCTCCTTCAGTTTGAACACAAGTAACAGCACTAGTATACATATCTTTAATGAGTTGAATATAAGTCATATCAACACATTTCTTCTCGAGAACTCTCCAAAGGATATCTCTTGGAACCTTATCGTAAGCTTTTCTAAATCAATAAAAATCAAATGTAGATTCTCCTTATTATCTCTGAACTTCTCCATCAAACCTCTCAATAAATGTATAGCTTCAATATGTAGCAGCATGAAGCATCAAATGACTATTTATTCTTATCTTAATT